GGATGCCCTCTCTCACCACTCCTATTCAATATAGTACTGGAAGTTCTAGCCAGAGCAATCAGGCAAGAAAAAGAAATAAAGGGTATCCAAATTGGAAAGGAGGAAATCAAATTGTCTCTATTTGCAGATGACATGATTGTATATCTGGAAGACCCCATCATCTCAGCCCAAAATCTCCTGAAACTGCTACTATGTTTTAAAACATTTTCTTTATTTTATATCTTGTTTTTCTGACAGAAAACTTAATGCAGGGACTGTCTTCTATCATATGCTTTTTATGTCATAAGATTGAGAAGTCTTGTGGTATTATCCTAATAGTTCATTGATTATTGTGGATCCTTATTATGTTGGTTCTCTTTTAAGCAGCATCTTAGGTTCTCTTTTGGATTCTTTGATGCAGTTGTAAAACTTAGTAGGTTAGTTAGATCCTTCCCATAAACCTTATTGACTTAGCAACAGCAACTAAAGCACTTCTCTCTTAGCATCCTAGAGTTCCTCTGATATGCTGTATTATTAGAAGGTCACATATATTGGACATTAATTCAGTTTTATCTTTTACTATATATACATAGTATTGATCAAGTTATGTAACCTCTCTGAGCCTGAATTTTTATATTTGAAAATCATGACAGTATCTTATTTTTTAGATTATTTTAAGAATAAGAGAATGCAATATACCATGGTGATTTGCACATAATAGGTATTTAATAAAATGGTAGCTATTCTCCTCATAAGCATTCTGTTAATACTCATGTAGCCCTGCTCTCCCCTCTCTATGTTTGTTTAGCTTTCATATCTATAGCCATTATATTTAGCATAGAGCTATAATTCCAGCCATTTATAAAACCTTTAACATTTTTGATTTTTTAAATAATAGAAACTCATCATTCAATAACTACTCGATTTAATGACATGTTGAAAGTATTTGAAAACCAGGCGAATATGTTGGAGAGGTAAGCTGTTTTTTTGTATTTTATTATTTTTCTATTTAAAATAATTAACAGATAAAATTGTATTTTTCCATATATAACATGTTTGTGAAAGTTAGTGCATATTTATTGCAGAAATATTGAAGCATAAAATAACAACACTGTCAACAAATTTAGAATTTCTTGTATCAATTTTTGTGATTTTATATATGCAGAATTTTTACATTGAAAATTATAAACATAGAGAATGTAAAATGAAATGTAAAATATATGCTACAAAAAACAGTATGTTGGTTCCTAAAAAATTAAAAACAGAATTACCATATGATCCAGCAATTCCACTTCTGGGCATATATACCCCCACATTGAAAGCAGAGTGTTGAAGGGATATTTGACACCCATTCTTTGTAGCATTATTCACAATGGCCGAAATATGGAAGCCACCCTCTTGTGCAACAGTGAATAAATTGATAAACAAAATGTGGTATATACATACAATGAAATTATTATTGAGTCTTAACAAGAAAGGAAATTCTGATACATGCTACAACATGAATGAACCCTGAGGACATTCTGCTAAGTGTAATAAGCCAGTCACAAAAAGACATATGCAGTTACTCCTCCTGCATGAGGTGTCTAGAGTAGTGTTAAATTCATAGACATAGAAGATAGAATGATGGTTGCTGGGGGTTTAGGAGGGGGAAATGGGGAGTTATTGTTTGATGCACACAAACCTTCCATTTTACATGATGAGAAGAGTTCTGGAGGTTGGTTGTAAAATAATGTAAAGGTACCTAACACTGCTGAACTATACACTTAAAATGGTTAAGATGGTAAATTTTATATTGTATTTTTCCATAGTTAAAAAATTAAGTTACAATGTTACAAAATGTAGTTTGTGAATATTTTTTTCACCTGTAAACTCTTATAATTGCTTTTTAAAATAAATGTTTTATTTTTCATTTAGAAAATTTATGTTATAAAACGTGATGTTTTGATATATGCGTACATTGTGGAATGGCTAAATCAAGCTGTGTAACAGACCCAATATCCTCACATACATATCTTTCTTTTTTCTGGTGAGAACACTTAAACATTACTCTCTTAGAAATTTTCCCCGTCTAGCTGAAATTTTATACCCTTTGACCAACACCTCCCCATTTTCACTAACCACAGCCTCTGGTAACCAGCATTCTGTTTTCTATTTCCATGAGTTTGACTTTTTGAGGTTCTACATATAAGTGAGGTCATACAGTAATTGTCTTTCTGTACCTGAATTCTTGGCATAATGCCCTTCAGGTTTATCCGTGTTGTTGCAGATGACAGTATTTCCTTCTTTTTTAAGGCTGAATAATATTTTACATATATAAATGTATATGTATATATATGTGTATGTGTATATATATGTGTGTGTGTTTACATATATATATATATCTTCCACATGTTCTTTATCTATTTTTATATTTATTTCCTTTAGATGTATACTCAGAAGTGGAATTACTTGGTCATATGGTAGTTCTATTTTTATTTTTTTGAAGAATCTCCATATTGTTTTCCATAAAGCTGTACTATTTACATTCTCACTAATAGTGTATAAGAGTTCCCTTTTCTCCACATTATTGCCAGTACATATACATATGTGTGTATATATATATATAAAATAGCCACTTGTTTTTTGATAACAGATGTGAGGTAATATTACATGGTGGCTTAAACTTGCTTTTCCTTGATGATTAGTGATGTTGAACATTTTTTTCATATACCTGTTGACCATGTATATGTCTTTTTGAGAAATATCAAGTCATTTGCCCATTTTAAATGGGGTTATTTATTTTCTTGCAATTGTGTTGAGTTTCTTTTATATCTTGGATATTAAACTCTTATCAGCTGTATGGTTTGCAGATATTTTCTCCCATTCCATAGGTTGTATCTTCATTCCACTGATTGTTTCCTTCACTGTGCAGAAACTATTTAGCTTGATGCAGTCCCATTTGTCCATTTTTGCTTTTGTTACCTGTGCTTTTGGGGTCATATCCAAAAAATATTTTCCAAGACCAATATCAAGAAGTTTTCTCCTATGTTTTTGTTAAGTAATTTTACAGTTTCAGGTCTTACATTTAAGTTTCTAATCCATTTTGGGTCTATTTTTACATATGGCGTGAGATAAGGACCCAATTTCTTTCTTCTGCGGTCTCTCCAAAATCATTTATTGAAGAGACATTCTTTTCCTAATTGTGTGTTTTTGTACATTTGTTAAAGATCAGTTGGCCATATATGAGAATTTATTTCTGGGATTTCTATTCTGTTTTGACACAAGGGTCATGCAGTTTTGATTACTGTAGCTTTGTGTAGTAGATTTTGTGATAAAGTGATGCCTCCACCTTTGTTCCTAAGCTCACGATTGCTTTGACTACTCAGGGCCTTTTGTGGTCCAATATAAATTTTAGAATCTATTTTTATTTCTGGGAAAAATGTCATTGGAATTTTCGTAGGGATTACATTAAACCTGTAGGTTATTTTGGGTAGCATGAACATTTTAACAGTATTGTTTGAATTCAATTCTTTCCATTTCTTAGTGTGTTCTTCAACTTATTTCATCAACATCTTACAGTTTTCAGTGTAACAGATCTCTCCCTTCTTTGGCTAAGTGTATTCCCAAGTATTTTATTTCTTTTCATGCTATTATGAATGGAATTGTTTTCTTGATTTCTTTTCTAGATAATTTGTTGATAGTTCATAGAAACACAACTGATTTTTGTATATTGGTTTTTATATCCTGCAACTATACTGAATTCATTTGTTCTGCAAGTTTTGGGGGGGCATCCTTAGAGCTTTCTGTATATGAGAGTACATCATCTGGAAACAAATATGATTTTACTTCTTTTTCTGCTTTGATACTTTTATTTTTTTCTGGACTAATTGCCCTGGTTTGGATTTCTAGTACTATGTTGAATAGAAGTGGGGAGAGTGGGTATCCTTGTTTTTGATCTTAGAGGAAAAACTTTAAGCTTTTCACCATTTAGTATAACAATGTTAGGTATGGGGTGATGATATATGGGTTTTATTATATTAAGGTTTTATTATATTATATTTATTATATTATATTCCTTCTATACCTATTTATTGATGGGTTTTATTATGAAAGGATGTTGAATTTTGTCAAATGCTTTTTCTGCATCTTATGAGATGATCATATGGTTTTGTCTTTCATTCTGCTACTATGATGCATGACATTTTTTGGTTTGCTGCATCATCCTTGCACTCCAGGGATAAATTTTACTTGATTATGTGAATGATCCTTTAAATGTACTGTGAAATTTGTTTTGCTCATATTGGGTTGAAGATTTTTACACCTATATTTATCAGGGATATTGGCCTGTAATTTTCTTTGATGTTCATATCTGACTTTGTTATCAGGGTGATTGATGTTGACTTGTAAAATAGTTTGAAAGTATTTCTTCCTCTTCAAGATACTGGAAGAGTTTGAGGATTGTATTAGTTCTTTAAATATTTGATGGAAGTCAACCATGAAGCCATGAGGTCTTAGGCTTTTCTTTGATAGATTTTTTTTTTTTTTATTACTGATTGGCTCTCCTTGGTCATTATTGGTCTCTTCAGATTTTCTGTTTCTTCAGTCTTGGCAGGTTGTATGTTTCTAGGAATTTACTCATTTTCTGCTAGGTTGTCCAGTTTGCTGGAATGTAATTTTGTGTGGTAGTTTCTTATTATCTTTTTATTTCTATGGTATCAGTTATAATGTCTCATTTTTCTTTTCTGAGGTTATTTGGGCCTTCTCTCTCTTTCTTCTTAGTTCAGCTTAACATATGCTGATTTTTGTCTTTTCAGAAAACTCTTAGTTTTGTTAACCTTTTCTATTGTATTTCTAGTCTCTATATGATTTATTTCTGCTCTTTTCTTTGTAATTTTCTGCCTTCTATTAAAGTATTGGCTTACTTTGTTATTTTTCTGGTTCTTTGATATATCACATTATGTTATTTATTTGCAATCATTCTTTTTTTTTTAATAGTAGACATCTATTTCTATAAACTTCCCACTTAGAACTGCTTTTGCTGGTGGAATGAATACTCTAGTATGAATGCTAGTGCAATAGAAATTTCCCACTTTCAAGGACAATTTAGCACAGTTTAGCCATAACAAAGGTGTATGCCTTATTATATAGCAAATCTCTCTTTATCTGCCTTAGAGAAAGAAGTACAATATGCTCAAGAAAGCATATAAAAATATATATTTTTTGTTTAGAATATTTTTTATTGATACCTAATAGATGTACATATTTTTTTTGGAGCACATGTGATAAATTGATACATCCATATAATATAAAGATCAAATCAGGGTAAGTGCGATATTTATGCCCTTGAATATTTCCTTATGCCTGGAACATTCAAATTATTCTTTTATTTTGAAATGTACAATAGCTTACTGTTTTTTTAATGTGTATATATATATATATATACATATATATATATATATATATATATATATATAGTATCAGTGTGATAGTAGCAGAACTAGAAAGAACCTGTTTTTGTCAGTGGGAGTATGGCTCAATAATCTATGGTAAATGAATGATAAGGGAATACTATGAATAACTATATGACAACAAATTAGATAACTTAGATGATATATATTTCTAGAAAGACTGAAACTAAACTGAATCAAGAAGAACAAGAACATATGACTGGACTTAATAAGTAGTGAAAAGATTTGATTAGTATTTAACATATTTCCCATTAAGAAATCTTAGGTCAGATGACTTCACTTTTTAATTCTATCAAAGATTTAAAGAAGAGTTAATACTAGCTCTTTACAAACTCTTCAAAAAAATACAAGATTTCACACTTCTCAATTTATTCTATGAGATTAGTGTTACTCTGATACCAAAACTAGTCAATCACAAGAAAATAAGTCTACAGATAAATATGAGTTATGAATGTGAATACAAAAATCCTCACCAAAACACTAGCAAATTGAATCCAACAACATATGAAAAAGCTTATATTTATGAACATGTGGGATTTATCTTAGAAATGCAAGGTTGATTTAAAATGCAGGTATCAATTTACATAATGTATAATATTGATTGAATATAAGAAAAAAATCACGTCAGCTCACTAGATTCAGTAAATGCACTTGACAAATTCAATAAATGCATCTTTTCATGATAAAAAAAATTCCATCAACCAGGAACAGAAAGAAACTTCCTAAACCTGATGAAGGCCATTTACAAAACCCATAGTCAACGTCATACTCAGTGGTAAAGAATGTATAATTTCTCCCTATGCTCAGAAACAAGACAAGGCATTCACTTCTATTCATCATTATAGTGGAGGTTCTTGCAAGGGCAGTTACAGAAGAAAAGGAAAAAAAAGTGTCTGCATTGGTGAGGAAGAAGTAAAACTACCTCTATTTGCAAATGACATAATTTTAGATATAAAAACATCCTGAGTTCTTCTAAAATCTATTGGAAGTAATGAATGAATTCATCAAGGCTGCAATATACAAGATCAAAAAACAAAAACAAATGAATTTCTATACACTAGCTGTTATGGTTTGAATTGTGTCTGCTCAAAAGATATGTTGAAGTTCTCACCCCGTGCTACCTCAGGGTGACCTTATTTGGAAACAGGGTTATTGCCGATATCATTAGTTGAGATGAGGTCATACTGGGGTAGGATGGGCCTATAATCCAGTGTGACTAATGCCCTTAAAGGAATTGGAGAAGACAGATAAACATGGAAGAAAGACTGCTTATATAAAGATGGAGGCAGAGATTGAATTTATTCTGCCTCAATCCAAAGAATGCCAGGGACTACCAGTGATTAGAATAGGCATGGTAGATTCCTTTCCTGGGTGTTTCAGAGGGAGCATGCTGTGCCAACGGTTTAATTTTGTATTTCAAGTCTCCAGGCTGTGAGAAAATAAATTCTTATTGTCTTACATCACCCATATTTTGGTACTTTATTATTACAGCTCTAGGAAATGAACACACTAGCAATGAACATTTCAAAAGTAAAATAAAGAAAACAATTCCATTTATAATAGCATCAAAGAGATTGTGACTGAATTTAAAAAAAGAAATGCAAGAATTGGGCACTGAAACTACAAAACATCGTTGAAAGAACATGAAGAACATCTAAATAAATGGATAGATATCTCATATTCATAGACAGTTAAACTTAATAGTTTTTATTTTTATTTATTTATTTATTTATTTATTTATTTATTTATTTTTTGAGACAGAGTTTCGCTCTTGTTACCCAGGCTGGAGTGCAATGGTGTGATCTTGGCTCACCACAACCTCCGCCTCCTGCGTTCAGGCAATTCTCCTGCCTCAGCCTCCTGAGTAGCTGGGATTACAGGCACGCGCCACCATGCCCAGCTGATTTTTTGTGTTTTTAGTAGAGACGGGGTTTCACCATGTTGACCAAGATGGTCTCAATCTCTTGACCTCATGATCCACCCGCCTCGGCCTCCCAAAGTGCTGGGATTACAGGCATGAGCCACCGCGCCCGGCCCAATATTTTTTATTTTTTAGAACTATTAGGGTCTCACTCTGTTACCCAGGCTGAAGTGCAGTGATGTGATCATAGCTCACTTTAGCCGCTAACTCCTAGGCCCAAGGCATCTTCCTACCTCAGCCTTCTAAGCAGCTAGGACTACAGGCAGGCACCACCATGCCTGGCAATTAAAACAATTTTTTTTTTTTTTACAGGGACAGGGTCTTGCTATGTTGCCTAGGCTGGTCTTGAACTCCTGCCTTCAAGTGTTCTCCTGCCTTGGCCTCCCAGAGTTCTGCAATTACAGGTGTGAGCCACCACACCTGGCTTTAATAATTTTAAGGTAGCAGTACTTCCCAAATTGTCCTACAGATTTGCTGTAATTACTACCAGAATTTTAGCTGTCATTTTGTAAGAACTGACAAGCTGATTCTAAAACTCATGTGGAAGTGCAAGGAAGCTAGAACAGCCAAAGCAATCCTAAGAACAAAGTTAGAAGACTTAACACTTAACTGATTTTAAAACTTAATAGAAAGCTACAGTAACCAAGGCAATGTATTACTGGCATAAGGTTAGACATAGAGAGCAGTGGAATAGAATTGAAAGTCCACAAATAAACCCTTACATTTATGAACAATTGATTTTTAAGGTAAGATGATTCATTGGGGGAAAGAAGAGTCTTTTTAATAAATGGTACTTGGGCAAGTGGGTTATCCACATGCAAAAGAATAAAGCTGGATTGTTTATTTTTGCCATGCACTAAAGTCGAAATTGTCTAACAAGTAAATTTAAGAGCTAAAACTATAGGCATTTTAGAAGAAACATAGGAGTAAATTTTTGTTACATTGGGTTAGGCAGTGGTTTCTTAGATATGACATCGGAAGTACAATCAACAGAAGAAAAAAGTAGATAAACTTTATTAAAATTAAAAACTTTTGTGCTGCAAGTGAGGCTATAAAAACATGAAAAAACCACTCATGGAATGTGAAAAATATTTACAAATTATATATCTGCTAAGGTACTTCACAGAATATATAAAGAACTCTTATATCTCAATAATAAAAAGGTAAATAATTCAGTTAAAAATAGGCAAATGATCTGTATAGATATTTTCCCAAGGAAGATATAGAAATGCTGAATAAGCACATGAAAAGATACTAACATTGTTAGTTACTAGTTTTTCTTGGTTTTTTGTTTTTTGAGACAGAGTCTTGCTCTGTTATCCAGGCTAGGGTGTAGTGATGTGATCTCATCTCACTGCAACCTCCGCCTCCCGAGTTCAAGTAACTCTTGTGCCTCAGCCTCCCAAGTAATGGACCACAGGCACCTGCCACCACGCCTGACTAATTTTTGTATTTTTAGTAGAGATTGGGTTTCACCATGTTGGCCATACTGGTCTCAAACTCCTGACCTCAGGTGATCCTCCCGCCTCAGTCTCCCAAAGTGCTGGGCTTACAGGCATGAGCCACTAGGCCTGGCCATCACTAGTTTTAATTACAAATCAAAACTACAATGATATACCACTTTGCACCCACTAGGATGGCTTTAATCAAACAGACAAGGCAAGGATTTGTTGGCAAGTATGCAGAGAAATGGGGAACCTCATATATTACTCATGAGAATTTAAATTGTGTATCTGATTTGGAAAACAGTTTGTCAGTTCCTCAAAAAATTAGAGACTCTGCATATGATTCAGAAATTCTGTTCCTAGGTTTATACATGAGATAAATGAAAACACATGTTCATACCAAAACTTGTAATAAATGTTCATAATAGTATTATTCACAATGGCAGAAAAGTGGAAACAAACAATGTCCATAAAGTGATGGATAAAATGTGGCATGTCCATATAACGGAATGTTATTTGGCAGTGAAAAGGAACAAAGTAGTAACGTGTGCTACAATAGGGAAGAACCTTGAAAATATATTGCTAAGTGTAAGAAGCCAGTCTCAAAAGACCACATACTGTATGCTTCTGTTTATGTCAAATATCCAGAATAGGCAAATCTAGAAAAAGTAGATTACTGGCTGGGCATTTGCAAAGAGAAATTGGGAGTGACTACTAATGGGTCTGGGGTTCCTTTGTAGGGTAAATAAAATGTAAAATTAGATAGTGTTGACAGTTGCTTACGTTGGTGAATATACTAAAAGACATTGAATTGTATACTTTAAAATGTGCATTGTGTGATATATTAATTATACCTTAATAAAGCTGTTATAATTCTGATATATTAAATGAACAACTCTTCATTGTGTGATATATTAATTATACCTTAATAAAGCTGTTATAAATTCTGATTTATTAAATGAATAACTCTGTCAAAAATAATCTATGGTTTATCCATACTATGGAACAATGTTAGCAAACTGTGGCCCAAATAACCATAGATTATTTTGCAAAAAATAATCTATGGTTTATCCATACCATGGAACAATATCACCAAACTGTGTCAGCAACTTATGGAACAATGTTAAACCTAACCTCAATTTATTTTTATAAATAAAGTTTAATTGGAATACAGCTACACTCATTGAGTAATAGTGGTAGAGACCATGAGCCTTGCAGAATCTAAAGTATCTACTGTCTTGTTCTTTACAAAAAATGTTTGCCAACTCCTGCTATGGAATAATAATTAGCACTTAAAAGGACTGAGAATGATGTATGTTTACGGATATGAAGAAATCTCAGACATGATTGATGTTAAGTGAAAAAATAAGTTGAGAACAATATATACAATGATGTCATTTATGTGAAAAAGAAAACTGAAATCTAACGCACTAATAAAAATTACAGAATGGAAAAGGTACATGCCGTATTGTGTAAATGTGTAGAACAAGTCCTTGAAAGGTAACAGTGATCCAATAATATTTCTAAGGAAAGCATTAAATTTTTGGAGTGGTAATCAGTGTGTCCTTTAAACTTCATTTGTATTAAAATATTTACAAAGAAAATGTGTAACCATATTACATATATTAAAATATAAATGTACAATTATGAACATAAATTTTTTGGTTTATTTTTCAGAGCTGTAAATGATCAAGTTTTGTTAGATGCTGTAAGTATAGTTCTCTCAATCTGAAATTATGCTTTGTCCTTGAGTTCTTAACAGACTCTTGAAATTGTCAGGATACATAATCCTATATAAAGATCCAATGCTTATGTAGTTTATTTAAGAGATTTCTATGCATATGTAAACTGGAAAGCCTTGTCTATTTTGCTCATTTTACTCTCATTATCACTCAGAAATACTTCACTTCTGAAATACTGCACTATAATATCCTACAATCATCTGAATAGTTCCAGTCCTTGATACTTATAGATCTTTATATATTTCAGTTTCAATTGTTTCACTGTACAGACTAATACCAATGTTTTGTTATTGTCATGAGTTAATGAAGACTTTCTTACCTTAATAATTAAGTATCTAATCTTTCTATATTGAGAGTTTTACTCTTCATTATTACTAAAATTATTTGTTTTTAGGAATACAAACAGATGCAACGTGATTTTCAGTTGTTATTAGAAGAGAAGTTGGTGCTGGAAAATGAACTACAAAAGTTGAAGGACACAGAGGTTGGTAAAATTTTCGTGTTTAAAAATGGCATACACCTAACAAGGCTTATTATTTTAGGATAGAAATCAAAGAGATATTTAAATATGTTTTTAAAAATATGTTTTTAATATTAATAATTTGTAGCAGCTATACTGTAAAAAATAAAATTATGTCATATTCTAAATTATCATTTTAGATGTCAAAACCAAAAGGATTCCATGAAAAACAGAATTTAAACATCTGAAAATACATTTCTATGCCAAACATTTGACTTTATTAAACTAGCATAAAGTAGTTTTCAAATATATTGTAAATGCATTCATGGTATTCTCTATAATTATGTGATGTGTGTATCCCAGTTCATTATACCAAGGAGAGTCAACAAAAATAGAAATGCCAAGGAAAAAGGAAAATTTGTTTCCTTTTGTATTTTATCATTCTTCTTGCCGTTGTTAGACAGCTTACAAATTCAAACTGTAGAGAATAAAGTCAAATACATTGGAAGTGAATTTTTATTAACCACTTAAAAACTTAAGATATATTGTTGAGGAAAAATACTGAATTCAATAATGTTGGTTTCTTACTAAAGGAGGAAGCAGAAATCATATAGGAGATTTTCTGTTTGATCAGTCAGAGAAGTAGTAATCTTACACAGGTGTCAAATACAAGATCAGGGTTGTCATAGATGTTCAGTTTAGGAATAGTTCCCTTTAGATATCATGCCAAGTAGGAGTAAAACATTGCTATAAAAAATCCTAAAAATAGTAAATGGTCATGTTGAAGAACTGAGTAGTCTGAACAAGTGTGAGAATTTTGCAGCATTCTAATGACACATTGTTAGAGCCACATTGAAAAAACTCTGGAGCTTCTTAGATGACTTGAGGAT